AAGATGAAGATGAAGATGAAGATGAAGATGAAGATGAAGATGAAGATGAAGATGAAGATGAAGATGAAGATGAAGATGAAGATGAAGATGAAGATGAAGATGAAGATGAAGATGAAGATGAAGATGAAGATGAAGATGAAGATGAAGATGAAGATGAAGATGAAGATGAAGATGAAGATGAAGATGAAGATGAAGATGAAGATGAAGATGAAGATGAAGATGAAGATGAAGATGAAGATGAAGATGAAGATGAAGATGAAGATGAAGATGAAGATGAAGATGAAGATGAAGATGAAGATGAAGATGAAGATGAAGATGAAGATGAAGATGAAGATGAAGATGAAGATGAAGATGAAGATGAAGATGAAGATGAAGATGAAGATGAAGATGAAGATGAAGATGAAGATGAAGATGAAGATGAAGATGAAGATGAAGATGAAGATGAAGATGAAGATGAAGATGAAGATGAAGATGAAGATGAAGATGAAGATGAAGATGAAGATGAAGATGAAGATGAAGATGAAGATGAAGATGAAGATGAAGATGAAGATGAAGATGAAGATGAAGATGAAGATGAAGATGAAGATGAAGATGAAGATGAAGATGAAGATGAAGATGAAGATGAAGATGAAGATGAAGATGAAGATGAACCTACTCCACTAAACCTAACCCACTACACCACTACCACCTCCACTTCACCTACTCCTCACCTACTACACACTCACCCTCTCCTATATATAGGAATCATTGTAACCATAACTATATATCAATCAATATAAATCAATCAATAATACAATTCTCTATTTCTCTTTATACATTAAATTTCTACAATATTTTAGATATTAGAATACAAACATGGCGATAAATGATATTGAAATGTGAAGCAACCAAGTATTTGATCGAATTTTTTGCTAAATCATCTTATAGTGTTATTTGGTTTAGTTTTTGAAAATTGATTTTGAGTTTTTTGTTTTTCGAGTTTGTCTTTAGTGAACTTGTTTTATATATTAGTCAAAAAAAAAATTAGGTGCATCTAAAACACATTAAAAAAAAAATTGACTAAACTATGGAAAAAGTTTGCTAAAGACAAAAAGAATCACAAAAACTCAAAAACAGTTTTTTAGTTTGAAACCAAACAACTATAATCACTAATTTGAGAATAGAACTCAGACTATTACCCATTAAAAGAAAAAGTATAGGGGAGAAAAGGTTGGGAAGACGGAAGCAATGTTGAATGTTTTAAGGTAGTAAAGTTTGGTTGCCTACTTGCCTCGGAACCTTTACAGATCAGAATATTTCCAGGATGGGGATCTGCATGGAAGAAACCACTCTTCAGTATCATTTGTCCATAAGCAACTGCCAAACTTTTAAGGATGTTCCTGCATTTGAGATATTTTAGTAAGAGCGTTATGCTTTCATCTAATTATGGCATTGTTGTTGAAGGATAGCCAATAACGAAAAGCAAAGTACAAGAAGAAGGAAGCTGTGGAGATGCCTTTTGAGAGAGGATACCACATTCAAGGTGAAATGATTTCCCTTGGTCTAGGGTTTTTTGTGCAATTTAGTTTGTCATTTGAATATTATCATGAAATTTGCCTAGACAATGTCAGAAAAGGTACCTAGAAAAAGCAAGCACGTTTACTAATAAAGATGAAGGTGTAAGGATCCATCTCAGGGGTATTTACAATACCAGGCAATACTTGCATTCAAAAAAGAAATCCTGAAAGATGAGGCCATTCACATGTTTGAATACCTCTCTCACACTTCTACAATAACATATTAAAACTGCCCAAAATGTCTTACAGCTTAAAAGAAGAAACTAAGATATAAGCTAGTAAGTTATGGATTTAAAGTAGATGATATGAACTTTTTGCATAAAAATGGGGATTATGATAAGAAAAAAATTGGCAGAAAAGGACTTCATACTCTCTGAGGTAATCAATGGGCTTACCTCTTTGCCGCAGCTGCGATCTTACCACCAGGATTTATGCCTCTTTTAGCTATTTCATCTCCAAGCTTTAGAATTGGGATTCCATCAATATATCTAGGCATTCTTAGGCCTAGTTTAAGGCATCTTGATGAGGATATCATTGTAGAACACACCAAGGCAAATTAGGGATTAAGTTATGAGATTTCCCAACTGTGTAGCTTAGTGTGTGTTCAACCTGTGAACTGTGTAGGGTTGGCAACTGGGGAGACACGCTCTAGCATACTGTAGCCCAACCTCTGTGAGTAACAATTGTGTAAAGATATGTTCAACTGATTATCTTTTGAATACTGAACTGAACTTTTTACTGAACTGGTATTACTGAATGAATGTATGTCCTTTATTTCTGAACTGTACTGTGGCATCCTTAGTACCTACTGTTTACTGTTACTGTTACTGTTACAGAGATCTCTGTCGGTTCCCTCGTGGAACCACTACTGTTTACTGAGTGATGGCCATCATTACTGTTCAGTCTTTTAAGACCTACTGTTACTGATATTCTAATGGATGTACCACATATGACTGTTTACTGTACTGAACAACTGAAATACTGATTGAATTGATCTGTTTTCATTACTGTAAGGACATTCATTCTAAACCCCTTTACGCTTTATGTTATTCACTGGGCTTTAGCTCACTGCTCATATATATATGTAGGTGTACAGGCACCAGACCGCGGCTAGAGGCGTCAGGGTAACTCCAGTTTTGTCAAGCCAGCCTTTGTGCCTCACTGCGAGGTTCCGAGCCTAACGTGTTAGGGCTTAGGGGTGTTTTACAATTCCCCCTTCTGTACTGTTTCACTGTTTTGTATAGACGGAATGTTTTCTGTACTGTTTTGTGGGGTCGAGTCCCTAGTCTGAATGATTGTAAATACTGTGCACACTGTTATGTACTGTTTCTGTATAAATGTATGAAAAATCTTTTTGGCATACAGATTGTCACAGCTCATTGGACATTGTTTAATTACTGTATTGGCTTCCGCCAGGCCCTGTACTCTGATTTACCGTATTACTGATAAGCAGGCCTTCGGTAATCTCGGATTACTGGCCGGTTACGGTGCTAGGCCGGGTTTGGGTCTTGACATTAATCCCTCTGAACATGTCATAAGTGATAACTTTTTCTTATTAACAATGTTTTGCATTCTTCATAACACAATTTATGCGTTCTTCGAAATATATTTTGAAATATTTATAAGATGCATATAACATGTGTATTACAATTTCTATAATTGCTTTGCATTCTTTAGAATGTAATTGTAACATACAAGATATCTTGATGTTTTAAGTTACAAAATATATAAACATTCATATGTATGATATATAATAAATTTGGAAAAATACGAAATTTTAACTTTGCAATTTAAGAAATGTTGATCATGAATTTCATCTCCCCCCCCCCACACACACACACATACACACACTCAGAGAGAGAGAGTGTAACAAGAACCTACCTTCCATTTGAGAAATGTTGGAATGGAAATGTCAATACTTTCCATTTGATACCCCAATTTTATATGGAAAAAAGAACCTACCTTTGTCAAGAATATGGAAAAAAATGAACTACCTTTCACCATAAAAGTCACTCCCTCTAAAGTAGTGTAACAATCTCTGTCTTCCTTCTGTCTTTTTTCCCAAGAATTACATCTCTGTCTTCTGTCTTTTTTCCCAAGAATTACAATGGATGAGCAAGTTATTTTTTCTCAACAACCACCACAATTCATTATTAAAAAACCCTCAAAATTTTCTCGGTTTCTTCGATCCATTTTTGGCAGCTGCGGCGAGAAGTCGGTAGAGAAGACATTAGTTGAGGATGAAAAAGATGGGAATACAGATTATTTTTCTTATTTTTCTTCCTCCGGCTTAGACTCGGATTCAGCTTATTCTTCAGAGGAAAAGGGCAGTAAAAATGGAGAATTGCAAAATGAGTTTCAGATGGTGACAGATGACATTAAGCAAGAACTTCAAGTGGCTGACTTGAAAAGGGAGTTGACAGAAACTACTGAAGAGAAGGAAGCAGAGAAGATGATCAGTGATTTAAAGATGGAAGTTGAAACGTTGAATGGTGAGAATTCAAAGCTTTTACAAGAACTTATCGCCGAATATAGCCAGCTGAGGGAGAAATTGGGTGAGAGAGAAAGGGAACTTGTGAGTCACACCGAGATACATGAGACCCATAAGAGTGAAACATCAGCTCGAATGAGGGGTTTAGAACTTGAGTTGGATTCTCTGCATACCCAGAAAGGAGAGATTGAAAAACAGAAAGCTGATGAGCTTTCCAGTCTTCTGAAGAAACTTGAGGAGAAGGGAAAAAAGATGAAGATGAAAAAGATGGGAATACAGATTATTCTTTTTCTTTTTCTTCCTCCGGCTTGGACTCGGATTCAGCTTATTCTTCAGAGGAAAAGGGCAGTAAAAATGGAAAATTGCAAAATGAGTTTCAAAAGGTGACAGATGACTTTAAAGAAGAACTTCAAGTGGTTGACTTGAAAAGGAAGTTGACAGAAACAACTAAAGAGAAGGAAGCGGAGAAGATGATCAGTGATTTAAAGATGGAAGCTGAAACGTTAAATGGTGAGAATTCAAAGCTTTTACAAGAACTAGTCACTGAATGTAGCCAGCTGAAAGAGAAACTGGGTGAGAGAGAAAGGGAACTTGCGAGTCACACAGAGATGCATGAGACCCATAAGAATGAAACATCAGCTCGAATGAGGGGTTTAGAACTTGAGCTGGACTCTCTGCGTACCCAGAAAAGAGATAAAGTGAAGTTGCTGATGGAGAATCTCAGCACGATTGAGGAAGACTACGGCTACATTGAGAGCCGTGTTTATGAAATTCTAAACACGTTTCAAGGTGCAAAGAACAGGGTCAGAGAATTGGAAGAAACAATCGAAGAGGAGTCAGAAAAAAAAAATTGTTGATCAACGGAAGATGAAGGACCTGGAACGGGAGGTGGACTCACTACGGAACCAAAATAGTGATCTGGAAGAGCAGCTAAGGAGTAAAAACCACGAGACTGATGATTTTGAGTTCCCCACCTTTGCCGATGAGATCAAGCCTATTTTCCCATTTTCGGCAGAAATGAGCTCGACGGAGTTTCGGCATTTGATGCGTCTCCAGCGGTGGCGCAGTCGCCGGAGAGATGTAAGAAGAACAACAAGAAGGCCTCCGAGACCGGAAGAGTGAATCCGACGGTAGCTGGAGAATGAGTGACGGTGGCGCCGAGGAGAGGTCGAAGGCGGTTGTTGATGCCGTACAAGCAAAAAGGGTTCTTTGCTAACGTGAAGATGTTGTGCACAAATGTAAATGTTTCAAAGCTGTTTTTATTTTTATTTATTTATTTATTTTTTGTATTTATGTCTATTATTATGATTTTTAGTTGATAGTGATATTATGGATTATGATTTTTAGTTGATAGTGATATTATGGTGGAAGTTTTACCAGTTTATATTTTGATTTTTTTTAAAAATAATTTTACCTTTAGATTCATGTAGACTAGAAAAATAAAAAATTGACATAATTTTAAATAAAAAAAATCACTAAAAACAAAAAAAGAAGAAATAAAATATAATTTATTTAAAATTTTCCTGACAATTAAAAATTAACGAGCTTAAAAAATATATTAAAAGTTTAGTTTGTTTATCATTTAAGTCAATTTCAAATGAGTTTTAATCACAAAAAATAAAAAAAATAAAAAATCACAAATTATGCTAAAATAGTTTGATTTTTTTAAAAAAAGTTCTATAATACATATAAATTATATTCACAAATTATGCTAAAATAGTTTCATTTTTTACTTTTAAAATTTATTTGATTTAAATATACCTAAAAATTAAAAAAATAAGAACATAATTTTAAAAAATCACTAAATACAATTTTTTTTAAAATTTCTTTACAAATATTTTATTTTTTAAGTCCATATAAGTTAAGAAACAGCTTTTTGTCTAAAACTTTTTCACCCTTCATTTGGGTAACTTAATTGAATTGAAAAAACACAAAAAAATAAAAGGGTAAATTACAAATATATTTTTTGAAATTTATTTAAAATACGAATTATTCTTATGATTTAAAAAATTACAAATATTTTCTTATTAGAATTTTTTATTTAACAAAATCAACTAAAAAAATGAAATTCATAATTGCTCTTCTATACAATAATAAAATTACTTAAATTATTAATTGAAACATATTTTTAACATCATTAAAAACTGTTACTTGACTTGATGATTTATTAATAAAATGGGTGATTTGTTATGAAATTAGAAACTTCTGGGGTGAAATGTAATTTTCAAAATCATAGGGACGATTCGTATTTTAATCAAACCTCAGTAGGTATATCGGTAATTTATCCTTATTTTTATGATATAATTTTATATTTTATTTTAATGTGGAGAGTTTTGATTTTCCTAACTCTATAATTTAACAATGGTCTCTCCAAATATTTTTTTATTAATATTGGATTGGATTAAATAGAACTAGGCCGGATAGTTTTGCCAAGAGAAAGAGTTGAACTTTTGTGAAAAATTACAAACGAATGTAGAATATTAAAAATACTTACAAATATATGGGGTGTGTAATTTTTTTATGGGTAAAGAAATTATAGTAAAAATTACATCTCACCTTGTGGTAAATAATTTTTTCATTTCTCTACTGTCTTCTAATTTTTTTCAATAATTGTTGAGAGCAATAATCACTGATCAATAAATAAAATTAAATGGACAATTTTTATCTTTGATTAATTTAATAATGTAATTTTCATTACCGTAATACCATCACGCTACCATAACTTTAAAATTTTCAATCTCGTTAACTATTATATTCAATATTTATTTCAACTTTTGATAACTTTTATTTATATATATATCATTTTATCTCAATTTACACCATTATTTGATACATAATTTTATTTTTTACTTTTACTCAATTCTTACCACTTAATCCCTATAATACCATTACATTCATCCATCAAATTCTAAAACTAAACCAAACCCCATTAACCACCACCTGCTACTCGTATCAATGTCAACACCCTTTCCAACCCCCTTCTCTCTCTATATTCTAATTTTCAAGTGCCTTCCAACCTTACTCCAATCCTTTTTCTCCCCAACGTCCTTACATACACCACTCTCTTCTTTTGCAATTGCCCCTTCTCCAACCTCATCTCTTTTGTGCCCCACCTCCACCTTCAAATGTGAAAACCTAGCCCTTTACCTTTACTAACCCCTTTTTTTTTTCTAGGTAATGACGGGGTTTGTCATGATGGTTGGCGATTAACAATGGTGAGTAACAAAAGAGGGAGGTCACGATATTTGAGATCAATGGTGGTAAGAGAAAGGTGTCTAGATACCCAATTATCCACACAAAAAGAAAAAAGAAAGCGAAATGTGTACATTTTATCCTAGATGATAATTTGCTTGAAGGACAAAATGATAAAAGAATAATAGTAATAATGTGAAGTGAGCGGATTGGTGGTGTACAAATATGTACTTCTCAACTTTTGTTCCCATAATATTTTCTTGATCCAATTCTATCCACACTTAGACTTGGGAACTTGGTTAGAAGTGAAATTTTGGCTTTTTGCATTTCTTTCTCTCCAACCGCTATTAATGTTTGTGAGAATCAGTTGCCATTTGGCAAGTGAGTTGGAACTAAAAAAGTACAAAGACAAAATAAGCTAAATAAGCCTATAAAACAAAATGTCACATTCAAATCATAATTATTTCACTTTTTCTCTCACAAAAAAGTCAAAATATTTTTTCCAAATGGACCTGATTTAACCAGGCTCAATTAGCGAAAAAGTCCAGCTAAAAAAGTTCTTTCCAGACGAACACTATTTCTTTGGTGTTGAAAAGCATCAAGTTGAATCGAAATTGAAAATCTTACGAGCCAAAAAGTAAGATACTGCAAAGATAAAAAATGTCCAATACAAAAATAAAACTCTACAAACAACGAATTGGAGAGCAGATTGAAAATACTGCAAAGATCGATGGAGAGTTTGTACTAGCTAGGGTTCCTACGACTCGGAGAACAAATTAAGGATCGTCAAAGTTTACATATTGGAGATCATCAACTTCGTTGATACAGATTTTCAAATCTGTGAGATTATATATGCATGGACAATATTGTTCCAAAAAAAATAAAAAAAAATAAAAAATAAAAAGAAACTTTCATCTACCGTCCTTGAGTCATATGCTTTATCCTTAAGGGATTTATGAAAGAAAATAAACTTAGTTGGCATTCACCCTAAAAAAGGCCTAGATGGGGGTTTTGGCCAAAAAAAAAAAACTCTTTTTTATTTATATTTTTTGGATTTCTAAAATCAAAAATAATAAAGTAGTTCCAAACGCCAAATAGTTTGTAGAGTTCCTAATTTTTTATAATTACACATGAAACTCTGAACCTTAAGTTAATAGTATTTTAGTCCCTAGTTTCCTAAAAGTCTACTAAATGGCCCAATAAAGAATAGTTTTTCCGTATATTATCATAATTAAATCATAGACCACCACTTTATAATTGAAAATACTCTAAAACTTGATTTTTATTTATTTACCGCCTAATTTCTAAATTAATTCATACATTTTATGTATTGAGCAAATTATTAAAAAAAAAAAACCCAGGATTAGCGTATTTTTCACATTAAATCTCAACATTTTAATTTTAACAATTTAAATCCTGAATTTTTAACCGTGTCCCAATGTTAACCCTCTATATGTTTTCGTTTGTTTCTGTTAACTTTTTACACTTATTTGATACACGTGTTAGTTTTTTATTCGTCCATAATTATTATAATTATTTTAATTCTAAATTACTTTTTTTCTCTATCAGCTCTTTCTCTCTCTTATTCTCTTTCTTTCTCTGAAAACCCTCTCTCCATCTTTTTCTTCCTCCCCCGCTCTCCTCAGCCGTTGTTCCTCATCCGCGGTGGTTGTTGATTTGTCGCCACAATGGTTGTCAATTCACCCGCAACTGCACCACATCTGGCATCATTTCCCACATCTCTCTCCCTCTCTCTCTCAAGCCGCCGATCTCCTTCTCGCTCTTTCACTCGCTCGCTCCGGTCATGAATCCTCGACACCGTGTTCACCAAAACTCAGATCAAGCCTCTTCTCTGGAGACATCTTACCGGTTGCCTCTGATTTGGATTCTTGACTTCAATCTGAGTTTTGTCCCATTTGAGGGCTTGGATTGTCTCATCTGTGGGTGAGAATGCTACATATGTTAGCTTTGGTCTTCCAAAGTGGGTCAAGTGTTCCAGCAAGAGGTGCACCGGCGCTGGTATGGTTTGGTTTCGAGCGGTTAGTGTAGCTTCCGCCGGAGTCATAGCTGCGTTGTTGTGGTAAGCTTTGCATGGGTCTGGTGAAGGTTTTATCCAACTCCGGTAGAACTATGAAGCTGCTATGACAATTAATGGCCGACGGGAGTGTTGTGGAGAGACTGTTGTGTCGGACCGGTGTATGGGACTGGGTTGTTCCCAGATTCGGTGTCGGCGATGGTGGAGTCACTAGGTTTCTCTACTCGGGTGTGAGCTTGGAGAGAGAATGAGAGAGAATAGAGAGAGAGAGAGCTAGAGCTGATAGAAAAAAAGAAAGAATAAATAATTTAGAAATAAAATAATTATGGACGAATCGAAAAGTGACACATGTATTAAATAAGTGGACGACCGAAAGTCAATATTGGGATAGAGTTAAAAATTCAGGGTTTAAATTGTTAAATTAAAATGTTGGGGTTTAATGTGAAAAACAAGCTAAATCCTGGGATTTTTTTTGTAATTTGCCCTAATTTATTTATTTATTTTGTTCTTTGATTTATTATCTATTTAAATATTTATTATTTAGTTAGACATGAATATTTAGGCCAAATTTGACATCTTTAAAAAAATTTAAAAAGTCAAAAAGTTATATAAAAAGTAAAAAAAATATTATTATTCACAAATAAAAAATATTAAAAATATATTTTATATATATTTACACTTCAAATGCACAGCAGCTGATTATTTGCTGTCTGACTAGCATTTGCCCCGAAGTTTGGGGCCAAAAAAAAAATACTATATGTAAAGTCACAAAAATGTTGGGCCCATGGAGGCCCACTAAGGACTCCCTTTTGGTAATCTGAATCGTGCAACATGTAAAACTCGTCAATTAATATATTCTTGTAAAAAATCACATTGATCGGATATCATTAACTAT